AAAAAAAAAAGAAATAGGAATTCGGCCGAATTTCGACACTCCTTTGGAAATTATAAGAGCCTTAAAGTTAGTTTCACGATCACGCAAAAAAGCAAAGGTTGCATTAACTATTTGTCATTTGTCTACGATATAAGTTTTTCTTTGGAAAATATCTCGCTTTCCAATTCACTTTAACACAAAAACTTTTTGACGTTTCTTTCCTTTAATCTTCCAATTACAGAAACATGGGTTAGTTCTCTAGTTGCTATTGGTGCTTTCTTCGGTGCCTTACCCACCGGTTATATAGCTGATGCAATTGGCAGACGTTACACCGCACTTATTATGGATGTACCTTTCATTGTGGCATGGCTGGCGATTATCTTTGCCAAATCGCCTGGAATGTTGTATTTTGGGCGTTTCGTAATTGGTAAGAAAACTTCAAGACAAAGCATACCAAAAAGTGTTGTACTAAGTACTTAATTCGCAATTCACTAATAGGCATTTCAACCGGAAGCTTTTGCGTAGTTACACCCATGTACATATCGGAGATCGCGGAGACAAGCATACGTGGCACTCTGGGCACACTGTTTCAACTGCTGTTAACCTTTGGCATATTGCTGGTTTACCTTATTGGTGCAGTGGTGTCTTGGACCACGCTGAGTGTCTTGTGCCTGATGGTGCCGATCGCGCTATTCATTGGCATGTTAATATTACCAGAGACGCCTACCTATTTGTTGAAGAAGGTGAGTTTGGAGAAAAATTGTCCACGTATTCATATACATTTAATTCTCTTAACCCTTAGGGTCGTCGCGGTGATGCTGCTCTGTCGCTGAAATGGCTTTGGGGTCGCTATTGTGACTCACGCTCGGCAATACAAATGATTCAAGCAGATCTGGATCAAGCCGGCTCGGATGCCTCCTTCATCGATCTGTTCCGCAATCGCGCTGCTTTCCAAGGTCTCATCATCTCTATGTTGCTTATGTTTTTCCAGCAGTTCTCTGGCATCAACGCAGTCATCTTCTATACGGTGCCCATCTTTCAGTCGGCGGGCAGCACTTTGGATCCATCGATTTGCTCAATTATTGTCGCTTTCGTATTGGTTGTTATGACGCTAGCCTCTTCCTTTTTAATTGAACGCGCTGGCCGTAAAGTGCTTTTGCTCTTTAGCAGTAGCCTGATGACTGTGTGTTTGGTCATTTTGGGTATTTACTTCCAAATGAAAGACGGTGGCAAAGATGTGTCCGGAATTGGTTGGATGCCACTACTTTGCGTTGTGATATTCATGATCGTGTTCTCAGTGGGTTATGGCCCTATTCCCTGGCTTATGATGGGCGAACTCTTCCTGCCCGATGTAAAGGCGACCGCTGTAGCGCTGACTGTTATGGCGAATTGGTTCTCAGTTTTCATGGTGACCAAGTGCTTTGGCTCGATGGTCACCGCCTGGGGTTCGGATATGACTTTCTGGTTTTTCGCCTTTTGTATGCTTGTAGCGACCCTGTATGTGGCATTCATGGTGTTGGAGACAAAGGGGCGCAGCTCTTCTCAAATACAAATGTGGCTCAGTGGCGGCAAACTGTGAATGGATTTATTTCCAGTTTGATTCTAGTTTCTAAGCTATAAGTTTGTTATGTAACTGATCAATTGTAAATAGACAGCGGAAACGAAAAGTGCTCGATGGTAGTAGAATTATACAGTCCGTAGCGCGCAAAATACTTCGATATCGTTTTTCGCTCATTTTCACAGCTGATTTTTGTTTTCTTAATAATTGTAAGTAGTTTTAAATTATTGTAGTTCAAAAATCTGTGTATGTACAATTTGTTATCAACTTTTAATGAGATTTAGAATTTACAAAAATTTTATTTTCAATTATCAATTACGAAGTTGTGAAAGAAACAATTGAGCCTGCGTAGAATACTTGTGTGAGATCATTTTGTAGACTTCCTATTAATTTAAGCGTAAATGTAAATTACTTTAATACTTAATAAAGCAATTGAGTATCTACATACATATGTAAAAAGGTATTACAGAGATGCAAATATTTTGAATTAAAGTTTGTCATTTCCATTACTTTATTACAAACTCCAAAACCTCGCAAATCACCACATTTCCTCATCAGACTTCTTTCAGTGGGATTCGATCCAATAAAAATTGTTGAATTTAATTGTTATAAGGCCAGGTGTGTAGGCAACTAGCTGAGTCAGCCGGGGTCGTTGGATGGACTCGCACTGAAAGGAGTCTAATGAGGAAATGTGGTGATTTGCGAAATAGCTATCACTTCTACAATTTTTTCAAATTATTGTTGCTTTTTGGCGGTGTTTCCGCTGTGGTGTAGTTATAAGCAGTGCGCGCTTCCACTCCGCAGCGCTCGGCTTCAAGCCCTGGTCAAAGCAACATCGCAAAAAAAATTTAGAAAAAAGGTTTTTTCTCAACAACGGACACCCTTTTTGAGTTATCAAAATTTACCAAGGCAAAGCTATCGGATTTTTTCAACAATTATCGGAATTTGTCGTTATCGAATTTTAAAGAGTTATTAGAATATGTTGCTTTTGAAATTCAGCGAGTTATTGATATGTATCGAATTATCGCACCTTATCGATTAACTGGAATATATCGAGTTATCTAAATGTATAAAGTTTCTGAAATTTGTCGAGGTATCGTGAATAAGAAACTTATGCTGTAGATTCTTTATTTTGAGTCGCAATTGATTTGCTAAGGGTATATTGTTTTCCCCATTTTCTTCTTCTACGTACATACATATATATTTCTATTTTGATTTTGTTTCTGGTTACTGTTGTGCACTTTTCTGATTAGTTGGTAGAGGTAAGTATTTAATCGAGTGAATTTAGTGTTTTTATTTGAAGGCAATTAAGAGTACGAATAAGAAAACGAAAATGAAGCCAAATCCAAATACATTTACGAAATTGAAGACTACGACGACTAAGACTTGGGATAGGATTAATTTTAAACATAAAAAAAATTTCTGCGAATGAAGGGAACTAGAAATTAAACCAAGGAAGTTTCAGTTTAGTTATTTTGTTGTTACAGTTTTGTTTTTAAGGAGATTTTTATGTTTCACATATTGTTTTTCTTTTTTTTTTTTTGAGTCTACATCTTCCAAGGATCATGTGTTGTTTCAAAATTGGTTGGAAAACATTCCGGGCTTGCTCTAACTTGTCTGACTATCAACGAGTTAAAAAAAAAACAAAAAAACATGGTTTATAGAGAAATTATCAGCCATAAAACTGTAATGCAAGAAAATTGTTAAAAAAAACACTAGAAAGCCGGTCGAATTTCGACAGAAACTCACACTTCTAGTTTCTTAAAAGTCATACCTTTATGTTCTTTGGTGGCGGTAAACGAACTTCTAGAGGCACTAGAGAAATCCTCGGGTGATCGACTATTCCTAAAGCTATGGCTTTAAATCGTATTAAAAAGTGATGTAAGGCCTAATCATGGACAAGAAGCTCTCGTGGTAGCAAAACATTCAGAAAACTTGTTTACCCGCTTAATTTCAATGTTGATACGAGTTACAAATTCGTTTTTGAGCCTACATTTAGGCGCTGAAACTAAAATGCATGGATCACCCTGTGGTTTGCAGGGTAAAAGCAAGGCGAATTAATAAATGTCTGCCCTAACTCGCTTGTTTTAAGGTCAAACGTTTTCAGAATTTCCCTTGATTAAAGTAAAATCCATATTTATGTTATAATAATTAATTTGATATTTATTTAACTAACAAATTCTAATTAAATTTGTCCTTTAATCATTCTTACATATTTACACAAACACTTGTTCGATAAACTTTAACGTTCTTGTACATACATACATACATACAATACATACTCTCATATAGTAAATTTATGCTACCTAGAATTTTTTATTTACATGTGAATATTTTTATTTACATACGAAACAAATTAAGTATTTTGTACTTACATATTTAGGGTTTATTAGTTTAAGATATTTTTTTTTTGTGTTGCTGAAGAATTCATCATGATTTTCCAAATATCTACATGCACATATCTAAATCTATACATACAAACACTCCTCGTCATTTGAATAGCGCACCTTTTTAACCCTTAGTATTTAGATTTTCATAATTTTTTTATATAGCATGTAAATCCGATTCTCAAATTTATACAAATTAAACTTGTACTTTTTTATACTAAAATTGAATTGGTTACAAAATTGCATATCCGAAATTTTTCTAAAAATATTGTTAACTTCTTCACTGCAGGGCATTATGATAGCGCAACGATTTGTTGTTTTTTTTTAAATTTTTATAAAATTTTAAAATCTGATTTACACTTTTTTTAGTAGAATATGCAAATAAAAACTGTACATACTGAGGATTAAAAAAGTGCGCTACTCAAATGACTAGTAGTGTATGTGCATTGAAATATGTTAGAAAACTCTTTTGTTTAAATTGTTTAAGTATATTTTTGTTTTATTTGGATCACACAATAAATTTAAACTAATATTATATTACCAAAAGTGTTTTCTATGTTTTGATATAAAAACTAGTAATTTTTAGCAAAAAAAAACCGACTTCAACTCCCATATAAAAAAAATATATATATCTCATGATCCGCTGATCGGATCTTAACGAGATTAGTATGGGACCACCTCTGAGACACTACCTTTCCGATGGAAAAAGAATTATCGTAATCGGTTGACGCGGTCCAAAGTTATGCGGTAACATACATAAAAAAAAAAATATTCCGACGAACTGATAACCTCCTCCTTTTTTGGAAGTCGGTTAAAAAAGAATTTAATTTCTCTGTGCATATCATACAAATTTAAAAGCTTGCTATCTACTTGGGAAATTTTTAATTTAGGCTACATATGAATATCCTTAAGATATATCATGCCTTAGGAGGCTCGAAAAATTTACTGCCTTTTTGAAATTGTCGATTCCTGTGTTATTTCATAGACCCGCCAAATTGGACAGCAAGCCGTTTGTATTTTTTGTGGGTTTTGGAATCCATATACGTAAACAAAGTTTGAAATTTTAGAGTAATAGTGACAATTTAAAGATGAAATTCTCGAAAAAAGTGAAATCAGCTGCTCGACTGAATAATCAACGTGAAATGCGTTGAAAGAAACATTTGAAAAGCTAAAAAATAAGAGTCATTAAAGTATATTTTCGAATCAAACTCACAAATACCCAGTTTTTCTACGCAAAATTATAACTTCAGCAACCATATACATATGCACATATGAGCTTCTTGATTCGAATCGCAAGCGTCCAGATTTAAAAACAAAAACTGGTTCATAGGCATGGCGTTTTTATGAGCTGTTAGGGCGCCAACATACTGAATACGTGAACATTTGGCGTCCCGTATGAAATAAATAATTTACCAGGACCAAGGACGCAAAAATGAATATTCCGTATAATACAGGACAGACACACACACAAAAAACACCTAAGGTATAGGTAAACCATCAAAAGCTCCAGAAATATTCCAAAAAAATCACAAAGGGCGCCGACAGAAACCCAGAAAAAAAAATCCGAAACCGACGAAGAAGTATTGTGAAAATTCCGATAAATCTTAAGAAGTAACGAAAAAACAACTAATTTTGCAAAAACTCAAAAATAGCAAAAACTCCAAAATACAACTAAAGCCCACAAAAAACACTAACAAAAGTTAAGTTACTTTTAGAAATATAGTTACTTATAAAAAAAGTAAAGTTTGATGGTCTCAGCACCTTTTTGCAATTTTTTAAAAGCTCTCAGCTAATTTCACGGGTTGTTACATTTCTGGACACGTGGCACACATATCTTGGACAATGCATTATCTTCAGTTTTGCATAAAGAACAAGACTCCCTCGCGAAATAGTATTAAAATGAAAACTTAAAAAAGATATACTAAAAAGTCCAAACAACAACTCTTGCTCATATATGCGTGGTTGTGTATGTAACGTATACGCCCCGTAGTACCCTACACAGTCAACTAACACGTTTACTCGCACGCCATAACTTCAAAGTCATATTATTTAAAAGTAATTAAATAGTGGCGTGGAATATTTTTCTACAGTAGTATTCACGAATATATGCATTAATTTCTTCATGTACATAACAATTTTAGAGTGAATTTAGAGTGTGCCAATAAAAATTGTATAACAAGAATTTTTTTATTTGGTGCCACACTAGTTTTATTACTCTAGATTGTTTCGGTTTGGCAAGGCGAATATTTTCGTTGCTTAGTGTGGACATTTTGAAGTATCTTACACTTTTAAAATGAAAAAAAAATCGATAAATTTCAAAAATCACAAAATAACTGCGATAGGTATTCTGTACGCTGCCATTTGTTTTAATTTGGTGGCACACTCTTGACACTTTATAGATATGCTTTGTTTGATGCCAACTTTTACTGCCTCTAATATGAACATTCTATTTGAAAACTTCCCACAGTTATTACAAAAAAAACCATTATAATTTTTTCGACTGACAATGAAAAAAGTAGTCATTTCGGTACTCTTTCACCTAAATAAACGTTTTAAGGCCGAAAATATTCCAATACTTGATTTATTTTTTTATTCTACTTGTTCTGGAACACCATTGATTGAAAAAAAGGAAAGAACACTGCTTTAGCGTTTTTTTTCTGCCGAGAGAAGAGAGTGCCACTCAAAAAAAAAAAAAACGCTCGTGAGATTTTTTCAATAACACCTCACACAAATGTATGTACTCTAGATGGTTTAGACATAATAACCCCACAGGTTGCGACTTGCCTCGCACTAGACCACCAGACGAAAAATAAAATCGCCAGAGTACCAATTTTATGTAGACATTAATTTTGCCATATAACAGAGATATTTATTATTTTTTTGAACTAAGTAAGTACCTTTTCTTTATAAAGGTTATGAAGTTTGCTGCGCAAATTTGATAGCAGTCTAAAATGACACAAATCGTAAGCTTTTTTTTTACATAAATGTCGCTTTCACTTCTTATTTATTTTCTAGTAATTGGTGTTTTTTTTCTGAAACTAACAACTAATGACTTTGTATAATTTTTGTTTTTTTTATCTACAGCAACGTACTTTTCATACTTTGAAAGAAAAAAAAAACAAATACATTTAAGAGCTGCATTCTATAAGGGCTAAAGTATAACCATTTACAAAAAATATCATACATATCTACCTACCTACTAAATATTATACATATTTACCATTGAAGTTGTATTTACAACACTACGCTGCTAAATTATTACATACACACATACATACTAATGTGATTATAGTACGAACACTTAGCCTAATCAATTACATATGTGCATTGTTTGATGGCAACAATTTGTTATACATACATACATACACACATATAAACTCACATAAAAAGCAAATGTTCTCTGCTTTTTGATAAACTTCTTCAAGCCAAAACCAATGTCAGCTAAGTTGTAACAAATTGCATACTTTATATTAAACTACATCTATTACTTGAACATTTTTTTAGTGCTTAGTTGATTTATTTAAAATATATCAGTTTGGCATTATGTGTGTTAATGTTGTTGTTGTCACTGTTCGGTGTCGCAAGGCGAATAGGTAGTTACTACAGGGCGAAGAAGATGCATAAAAGCAAAATATTAATTTGCACGCCAATATAGCGTTCAGTCCTAATATATTCAGAAATATCGCCTCTAAGAAATTTAGTTATTCTTCTCACACCTCCGCGCGCCACCCGCGCTTGTTCGTATATTTTCGTTGGGTTTTTCCGCTCTGTAAACACATTCGTTATATTGCTCGATTACAGCTCTGTTGTGGTCTCCACCTCTGAGCGGTCCAAATCATTCAAATAAGAGAAGCCCAGCTGACCATAGTCGCGCTTGCCGAATGTGACATTTTCATTCGTGGCGCTTATGTGGCTCAGATCACCATTCGAGCTGAAATTTCAATAAAAGCAGTAAATATTTTTATGTTAGTTGGGTAAAAATATGCAAATAAATATTTATTCCATCCCCGCTCACCGCTGAAAAAGTGGATTTGTTATCGGCACATCCGCATAGGCGCGACTATTGTGATGATGATGCTGATGATTATTGCGCCCCAGCGTATTGGTCATCAGCTCGCCAGCATTTCCGCTGTTATCATCAGCACTGCTGCCATTGCTATTCAAAGCGTTCAGCCCATTTGGCCCGCCAAATGTGTTCCCCCGCCGCCCCATGGTACTGTAGCTGTTGTTTTGTAAATTCGCTAAGTTATTACGACTCACAGCATCCAACTTATAGCCACCATTCTGATAGTGATTGGCGCCATTTTGATGTTTGAGTCGCCCCAACGTTAAGGTGCCGGGCAACGTGCCATTTGCGGCCGCCGCCAAAGGATTTGCATTGTTGCGCGCATTCATTTCGAGTGTACGATTGAATGTATTCTGACGATTATTTATGCCATTCAGGTTGTTGTTATTATTGTTGCTGTTATTGTGTGCCATATTGTTAAGATTGTTGTTGTTATTGTTGCGACGCAAAGTGGTGATAGTGGCGGTTGTTGCATCCGAGTGCGAAGGACTCGCCTGACCGGCGCTCGTGCCGTTCTCTTTGTGCGTAATGTAGCTGACGTTATCCAGCGAGAAAGCGTGATTCTTGGCGCTAAAGTCCAGCTGCAGATCATCATCTCCATCCGGTGGTACAGCCATGGCTAGCACTTGCGTTTCGTATTCCTTCATATTGGCGACTGTATCGCCGGAATTGGTTGCTTGCGAATTAACAATGACTGGGTCATAGCGCGTTGGACTGGGCGCTGAATATTGGCGCATGCGTTGCTTGAAGTTCTTGTACCTGTTGCGTGGATAAAGATAAGTTAAGATAAGAGTTAATTCAAAAAAAGGGGCGCATCCGGCACACTCACTTCGACCAGGAAATGCAAATGTAGATAATACCGATCGTGCCAAGTATGAGTATGATGATCGAGATCGCGATCAGCGTGTAGGGGAAGACGTCGTCATTGATAGCTATAGCTGCTTTTACCTGTGAGATCAGAACGGTTCTTTTTTTTTAGTAAAAATACTAAACACGCAAATGGTGCCGCAATCGCTACCTACCTTGTGAACTTGTTGTCTCATCTCGATGGGTGCATATATGCCCTCGGCGGTCGCGTGCGCCACACCAGATGCTGCAAAATTGAGTTCGGCACGCGCTGTTGGCTCCAGCAACGTTTCGTGTACAGTCGTGTCGTTGCGTGTTAGTATTTGTTCGGTTTTTGGATCGATGAGGTAGAACCAAACATCTGTCGCTGTTGGATTTTCAATAACGGTGCCATTATCCGCCAGCAGCTTGCGATTGCTGAAACGTTCGATACTGCTTATGAGCCCATTGGTCTTCTCTTCCAACAACTGTTCCAGTGCGCTATAGTGGCTGCGTATTTCATTAGGCGCTGCATCAGAAAAGGCCAAGGACATGCGATTCTGATCCGTGATCTGGTTGATTACTATGCGTGCGCGCGTGTGATGTGAACCCAACTCCTGGCCATCGTTGTCACGCGCCTCTACATAGAACATCATCGGGAAAGTAGCGCCCTCTTGGAAGAGTTTAGTAGTGCGCAATATGCCTGTGTCCTCGGTCATGATAAAATAAGTTGTGGGCTATGTGACAAAGGAAATTAGTTCAATTTCGTTAAAAATTATTTAATGTCATCACTCACCAAATGCTCATCACTGATTGTGTTGTCCTCCTCATCGTAAATCTTGTAACGTATCATGCCGTACTTGCCTGAATCGCGATCGGTGGCGCGCACTTGCAGTACGGCGGTGTCGATGTCCGTGTCGGGCGCCACTACTGCGTAGAAAGTATCTTTGCGTGTATGCGCACGATTGAAAATGAACTCTGGTGCATTGTCGTTATCATCTTGCACGATGACTTTCACCGCAGCCACGCTCTTCTGCGGATTCACAAAATACTTGTGCGAGACGAGCCGGATGCTCAAAGAGTAGGCCGTTGTATTTTCATAGTCCAAGTGCTTAACCAATCTAACACCGCAGCCATGATCTTCGGTCGTTATGTCGAAGTAATCCAATTCGTTTCCGCTAATGATCTCGCATTTGAAACTGGCAGTGCCGTCTCGCGCCTTCTTCGAATTGATAACTTGTATCACTTTTATGGTTGCATTAATGCCGGTTGTCTCGGGCACACCTGTTGTATAGCTATCGTCGCTGAATGCCAAACCTACACTCTCGGGACTCATTATCGCGCCGTCAGTCATCTTACCCTCCACTACGTTGCCCTCATTGGGATCGGTTAGTAGATGGCGCACAAAGACCGGCAACGTGGCCACGGAACTGAGTTGGGGTTCGCCCATATCGTAGGCGCGTATGTCCACCTGATACTCGGTGTCCTCTTCCTTGCGCAACTCATCTCTTATCCGCACTGCGCCCGAGTCGGCATCCACTTGGAAGTATTTCAATGCTTTGCCACGTCCCACCATCTCATAGCGCACCACATTGCCTGGCGACGAACCATCACCATCTATGGCCGCCATTGTTGCAATGCGCGTGCCGATAGGTTGATCGTCATTTACCGTCACTGGCTCTGGTACCGCAGCGAAGACTGGCCGAACATCATTGCGATCATCTACTTCGATACTGATGCGTATCGTATCACCTAGCCCATCGCCATCATTTTCAATTGTACCGACAACCAGTTCGTGTTGCTTCTTTTGCTCGTAGTCCAAACCGTTGGTGGTGCGTATTTCGCCAGATTTAGGCGATATTTTAAAGAGATCTGTTGCACCCCTACGCAAAACGTACGTTATCTGCTGCACGGTGTCTGGGTCGAAAGCTTTCACGGTCGCAATTAAATAGTTAGCCTCATTTTCGGGCACATGTACATCGATACGCGCGTCGCTAAACTTGGGCACCTCATCTGGCAGATCGCGCACCTGCACCGTAACACTCGCTGTGCCAAGGCGCGCATCTGGCGCACCATCCTTTGCCGTCACGACGAAACGGTATTCTTTCTGCCGTTCGTAGTCCAATGCCGTGGCGGTACGGATTTCGCCGGATTTGCCATCAATGGAGAATGGTATATCATTCGGTACAGAATATGTAATTTCGGCATTAATACCCTCATCGGCATCTGTTGCATGTACGATGCCAACAAAAGCGTCCTTTTTGCCTTCGTCCACTTCGAAAACGTAGGGCAGCGTGGATTCGTCGAACTCGGGGTTCTTGTCATTGATGTCGGTTACTTTGATGTTGACTGTAGCGCTGCTAGACAGGCCACCATTGTCTTCGGCCTTTACAATTAATTGATAGCGTGTTAAACTTTCGCGATCTAATTTGCGTATAACCATTATGACACCGCTCTCCTGACCCACGGCGAACTGACGAAGGTCGTTGCCCGACATAATCGAGTAGACCACCGGATCGTTCTCGGGGTCTTCGGCGTGCACCACAGTCACGGTGGAATTGATCTCGGCGCCTTCGCTTACTTGCACTTCATAGATGGGCTTGACGAACTTCGGTGGCTTGGTGTTTGGTCCGGGTGTAACTGAGATTTCCACAATAGCCTGCGACGACAATCCACCGTTATCGGTGGCCTGTACAGTTATGCTATATTGTTCACCAGCCAGCAAGCGACCTCTCGTCTCAATCTCACCAGTCTTTTCATCGATAGCAAATTTCTGAAGGCCATTGTTGGACACATGATAGATTGAATAGGTGATGATGGCATTAGCGCCTTCGTCATTGTCAGTGGCTGTGACCTTAGTTACAAGTCTTTGGCCATCGCCTGCTGTGATCGTGATGGGCGGTACCATAGCCAACTTGGGCGGGTTGTCGTTGACGTCGCGCAGATGCACGGTTAAGCTGAGCGGAGCGCTGGCCGCATTGGTACGAGGTTCACGCGCAACCACTTGGAACTTGTATCGCCCAGGTGCTGGTGGATCACGATCCAAGCCTTCTTCGTTGACAACCAAAATGGAATCGTTGGTGACATTAAAAGATGGTGTAGTCAACTCATAGATATAGTCGGGTTTCGGATCATCCTCACCCAAGTCAGCGTCTGTAGTTTTAAATGAGATGGGCCGGCCATTTTCATCAACCACGCGTGTGCCTATTGGTGAGTTTTCATCGACATAACCTTCAATATCACTGGCAGATATGACTGGCGGATTAGCATCCACCGGTTTAACGTTGATCACCAACTTAGCTGTTGTAAAGCGTTTGGCCATCGATACCTCTTCAGCCTTCACAACAATGTCATATTTCTTGGCCGTCGATGTGTCGACTGCCTTGATCTGTTTCAACACGCCCGTTTGTTCGTCGATCTCAAAATAGTCTGCATAATTGTTGGGCATACCGCTGGCAAATGAATAACGTATGGGCGCACTGATCGTGTCCAAGTCGACGGCCTGTATGCGTTCGGGCGTGACAGTGAGCACACCTTGCAGCGAACCCGCAGGCACGGACGCCGAATATTCCGGATTGATGCAGGCGCCATCGAGTAGCACACAACCGCGATAAATGAATGACGGATCTTGATCGTCCGAATCGGCAATGTTCACGGTCAGCATGGTGGTCGAGGAGAGCCGTTCAGATACATTGCGCGCACGATCCTAGAAGAAAGAGGGTAAGAATTATGCATTAGAGTGGTTTAATCACCATTAATGTCAGCTTAAGATAGACAAACTTGTAAATAGTCAAACATAATTAAAATGTAAATGCCACGATCGTTTCGCAAATGGAATTCGTCGCTAAATAACCGTCGCTTTATAGCCATAAAATAACCTGTCGCGTTTACAATATAATTAGGCAGTTTAGCTGCGACATTCGTATGCGTTCTGCAGCCTTTGGCCGAGCGGGTGTTGCTTGTTGAATTATTTTGTTAGTGTCTTATAGTTCAGGCTATTTTTCACGCGCACATTTTGTAGCTCGACAAATGCAATTTAAATAATTGCGCGCATGCGCAATGCAATAAATTTAGCTTCGTCGCCCGTTATGGCGGTTAGAATGGCACTTTGACCATGGCGCACGGTTGCGCTGGCACGGTGGTGGTGGTGGTGGTGGTGGTGCTGCTGCTGCTGCTAAAAAGGCAGCTAACAGAGGCCAGTGGCACGTCCAATCAATAGTTGTCTTGGCCAATTGCAGGCTGTAGCTGAGTTTTTTTTTTTAGTTTTTTTGGCTTGTTTTTTTTTCCGTAGCAAAATGAGACTTGCGACCAACAGCA